TTACAAAGACCAATATGTCAGGAATTCCTCCTCGACCAAAGACAACAGTCCAGAGCACCCCAAGTAAACGAAGCTCAAACAAAAACCATGATTCAAGGTATGGTGAGAGGTGGGCCTTGGTTTAGAGTCTGTCGTGGTGAATCAACAATCATGAACGTGGGGTAGTTTAGCCACAGGCCGTTAACAAAAGGTAAGCCGTGCACACTCCACTGCTCGGGCCCCCAGGTGAATGGAGAGCAGACCCAAGCTGGCAGTGGGCTGCGCTGTCCTGTGTTCCCGGCCAGCGTAATTAACCAGTTGCACAGAGCGTGACGCGCCATCGTTGGTTTCACGTCTGGCTTACCTGACGTTCCCGGTGGTCCATCAAGGGCGTCATTGCTACAAAACGTTTATTTTACTTTTACTTTTCCAAGAGCTCTTCCTCACCCTTTGAACCGAATTGTTCTGCTCTGAAGGCACCGTTGGGGCTCCTTTGTTGACTATCATGTGCCTTATTATTTACCCTAATTTTGGCTTGAGCTGTTCTCCAACGTAACACTGACCATTTCCATCAACTCCTGCAGCTTTTCCAAGACTCAACGCTTCCCCTCCTCATCTACTGTAGCACAATGTGGGAAATCCGGCGATCGGGAAGAGGGCTTGTCAACAGCATGGACGGGAGGGGCTGAACACAGCTCGCCTGGCATGTACAGAGAACTGAAAAAAAAACCAAAAATGTGCGTTCACCTGACACCCAGGGACAGCTAGACGCTAGTGCTAAACAGGAATAGTCTTTAAAAGGTCGGTTCATTGGCAAATATGGCCAACGCTGCCTGAGTGCCACAATGTCACTCCCAACTCTACAAAACAGGATTCACGTCATAAATACTCGGAGGGCTTCCAACCCCAGCCCCAAGCCCAGTGCCTGATTCACAGTTGGCCTCCAGGAAATACCTGCTGAATAAATGAACTGCAAATCATGGTAAAGAGCATACAAGAGTAAACAAATCATCGCCATGGTCACCAGCACCCCGTAGAGCAGATCCTGCTCAGAGGTGTGAGAAGTCTGAAGATAATCAGTAAGGAATAGAGGGCAAAGACAGACGTTAGATTGAAAGGGAGACACCAGGTGGGTCTCCAGCCCTGAGAAGAGCTGGAACTGGACACCTGGACAAGGCCCCGGTCCTTTATCTAAGGAAGTACATCAGCTTCCAGTGTGGCGGGGACCTGGTGGTGGCAGGTGACGCCCTTCTCGGCGGCGATGTTTGATCCTGGGGCTGTGAGCTGAGGCAGGGCCAGTGTGACCTGGGCTTTCTCCAACCAGGAATCTCACCCTGGAGTGCTCGGTGCACGTAGGTAGATTTCACAGCTCGTTGATGTTTACAACTCATGCATGTCAATAATCACCACAGAAAGAAAACCAAAGAGCACTAGGAGATGGTATGCAGAGGAGGCAGGACACGAGGAGGGACTGCCAGCAGCCAGAGGGGAGGCCCTTGCGGAGGGGAGGGGTGTGAGGCAGGGCGTCAGGGTCAGGGGTCAGGCAGAGCACTCATGGTGGGCAAGGCCAGCATAGCCAGGGGAGGAGAAAGGTCAGGTGCCAGTCTGGGGGTCCCCAAGGACCCTGGTCCCCAGGCTGGCAGCAGAGCCCAGCATGCGCTCCTGGAGACCCCGCAGCGGGAAGGTGAGCCGAGTGCCAGGGACAGACCCAGCCAGAGCCGGAGAGTCTCCAGTCCGTGATGGGACTCACCCAGATTAGAGTCCTCAAAATGTCAAAGCTCTGAGTCTCCTCAAGCCACGGTCAAAAACAGGCCACAGGCCAGAGAGACCACCTGCTGACGAAGGGCAGAATGGGCAAAGAACTCTCCATTCAAAAACAAAAGAGGGCCCCAGAAAAACTGGGAAAAGACGTGACCAGACATTGCACAAGGGAAGCTATGCAGATGCCAGAGAAGCACAGAATAGAGGCCCAATGCCATTAGCTAAAACGGACGCTTGGGGACAGTTAATGTGAACATGCCTGTGGGTTATGTGGATTAGGAAGATTCTATCAAACCACACTGACATGGAATCTCTTGGTTTGTTAACTCTAGTATGATGGAATTCTTGTTGTCATAAGACCCGCACTGAAATACTTAGGCAATGATTGCAAAAAATAGTCTATCTGTAACACACACACAGTACGTTCTCTCTGCACACTCCTCTCTCTTCCAGAGAAAATAAAACAAATGGAAATTGACCAAATTACATTACATGCGTGTACAAATATGTCACAATGAATCCCACTATTATGTCTTATTATAATGCACCAATAAAAATTATTAAATAAAAATGAAAATAAACTTACAAAATAAAGCAAACAGGGCCTGATGCAGATAATTTCTATCTGGGTAAGGTTTATATATAGGAGTTTCTCTTACTATTTTTGTAACTTATAAATTTAAAATTACATAAATTACCAAATATTGAAAAAAAAAACCACTGAAAAACTGTAATGATGTTTTCTAGGATTAATCTGGCAAAAGGACCAGAAGCCAAGATGAAGAAGCCACCTCTGGCCAAGAGGTGTCCTTCTGGGCACAGCTAGTCCTGGCCTGATACCTTGAGGCCAAGTCCACACTGACATCTCAGAGGAGAACCCAGGGCAATCTGGCCACCATCTGAAGCCTGCTACTTATCACCTATCTAAGACGCTGGTGATTCATGGGAGAGAAGTGCTCTTCTGTACTGCACAGCCTAATAAATCCAGAAGCAATGGCAGGTTAGGAAAATCTTATTTCTCCAACATGACTGCAGGGCCTGAACTTGGGCCCAGTCATCACCAGGATCACCTGCTCACCACAGGTCGACCACACAGGCACACCTTCATGACGCCGTGGGTTCAGTTCCAGACCAAAACAAAGAGATCACAGTCAAGCACGTCACCTTGATATCCTTGGTTTTCCAGTGCATATAAAAGTTGTGGTTTTCCTTCCATCAAATAAGCAAGTGACAATAGCGTGGTACAAAATATCTGTAGACTCTTAATAGAGATTCTTTATTGCTAAAGATGCTTTATTATGCTTTATAAACATGCTTTATTGCTAAAGCACGCTAATAGTCACCTGAGCCTTTCGGGAGTCACATCGTCCTGCTGGTAGAGGGTCTTGCCTCAGTGTTGATGGTGCCTGACTGACGCAGGGGGCAGCTGCAGAAAGCTGGACGGCCTGGAAGTTTCTCAGAACAAGAAGCGGTGAGGTCCACTGCATGCATGGGCTCTTCCTTTCAGGACAGTTTTCCTGTAGCGTGGGAGGCTGGGGACAGCACCGTGCCCACACTAGGACGTTGGGAATCTGCTCTTCCCACCCCGCGGGTGCACTATCTAAATCCTCAACCACATCTCCTTGATCACAGCATCCTCCCAGAAGTCGGTGCCATCTCAAGACCATGCTCTTTGCCCATTCACAAGAAGTGACTTCTCGCCTGTGGACGTGTCACTGTGAGGTGCAGCCATCCGGCCAGTCCTCAGGCTCCTCTTCTCAGTCTGGGCCTCTTGCCGCGTGCACTGCCTGCACAGTTCCTTCTCCCCCGCCATCCTGAGCCCCCCAAGTCCCCATGAGGGTCGGGATGAACTTCTTCCCGTTAGTGTAGGGATCTTGCTCCCCTCCCCTGACCACGAATGTTCTTACCGGCATCCGGAACGGAACCCTTCCAGGTTTTCAACTGCCCGCATCAGAGGAGGCACCATCAAGGGCACTCACAGCCCCACAGAACACGCTTCTTAAACAAGAAGACGTGGGCTGGGGATGTGGCTCAAGCGGTAGTGCGCTCACCTGGCATGCGCACGGCGCTGGGTTCATCCTCAGCACCACATACAAATAAAGTTATTGTGTCTGCCGAACACAAAAATAATTAAAATTCTCTCTCTCTCTCTCTCTCTCTCTCTCTCTCTCTCTCTCTCTCTCTCTCCCTCCCTCCCCCCTTTAAAAAAACAAGAAGACGTGAAGTCAGAATGACTCCCAGTCCCCGGGTGCAGAGGGGTGCTGGGCCAGCAGGCCTGGACACAGCATGGGGGCTCTATGTCCCTCTCCACCAGAGCTCTTGGGGACGAGGTGTTTGGCCAATGAGCAGTGATATTTGAAAGAATCTTTTTTTCTGAGCAGCAGGTCTCAATGGTGGACTTAAAATGTGGACTGTGTTGGAAAAGAGAGGCCTGGCCTGTTGCTCCATTCGCAGAGCATGAACTGGTGGATCCAGTGCTGTCCCAAGGGCCCTCCATTACAGGTGGTCAGTAAGCACTGGCCTTGACTTACAGTCACCCGCTACAATAGCCCCTGAGGAGAGTCAGCCTGTCCTTGGAAGCTTGGAAGCCAGGCCCAGACCCCTCTCAGCAGCCTCTTCCAACGCCGGCCTGTCCACACTGAGAGTCATCATTCGGTGTGGCAGATGGACGCATCTGTGCCATGTCACCATGCACCCACTATTTCCTAACCCTCTAGGCTGCCTCAGGGGCGACCTGCTCCCAGCTTCTTCTGCCGAGTCTTCTCAGAACCGGAGAGAGATGGGCCTGGCTCTGGATCAGCTTTAGGTACTGTCATCGATCCAGACAGCTGGCCTCCAGGAGGGCAAGTGGCCTGTTTGGCTTCCGCTCCACCTGCATATGCCCTGTCATCTCCTGCATTCACACCTGGCTCACTGCCGCAGCAAGCTGCCTTGGGACCTGCTGGCTTGGGACAGGTCTCCCTCTCCAGGCTCCATCACATCCAGCTTTGATGTAAGCTGCTAGTCTTCCTTTCACTTGAACACCCGGACAAGGACATTGCAAGGTCATTAGCTGGCCTTGTTTCAATACTGTTGTGTCCCAGGGACTAGGGAGGCCTGAGGAGGGGAGGGGGTAAGCGTGGCGGTAGGTGGGGTCAGAGCCCGCACCACACTTCTCTATGGCTGACCTTGCTTCGACCTTCCTTCCCATATGGGGGCAGTTGGTGGAACCATGGGGCCAAGCTGGAGGAAACAGTTCAAAGAATTGCAGCAGAGACTGCTTCAGAAACAAAAGATGACGGAAATATTTATTTCAATTGCAAACCAACTTAACAAATGACTATAAGAAAGATTGGCCCTAACTGCCCACCCCGCCACCTGCTGCAATCTGGACCTTCCCCCGCTGGATCTCAGTCCTGCAGGTCCGATTGTCTGCCTTCTTCTTCTTCAAAGCTCACATTTCCTAAGAAGAAGAGGGAACTCTGAGTATATGGAACAACCACCTGACACAATAAAAGCCACGTCCATGTCTCCAAGGGGCCCGAGCCAGGGCTGCCCTGCTGGGAGAGCAGGAGTGAGCGCTGCATCCAGGACGGGCAGCCCTGCTGGGATCAGGAGGCAACGGGAGCAGCCTTCTGTGGGAGGGCGCCCTGAGCTCACAGTGGGCCTTCTGCAGGCCCCTCCAGGCCCCTGGGCCAGGCCCAAGGACCCCATGGTGGGAGAAGGGTGAGCCCCACGCTCCGCCTGCGCGTGGCTCCAGCTTCATGCTCAGGCTCCTCACCCTGGCGCCCCTCACCCTGGTGCTCCCCACCCTGGCGCTCCTCACCCTGGTTATCCTCTCCCTGGTGCTCCTCTCCCTGGCGCTCCTCACAATCATGCTCCTCTCCCTCGTGCTCCTCTCCCTGGCGCCCCTCTCCCT